TTTCCCAAGGGACACAAGGATCTGTACCAGGAGAACATGGTGGAGTCATGCAGCTACAGGAACCCACCAGAGAGATGTCCCCGTCCTGAAGGTCACAACTATGGACACCATCTTCAGGTTGGTGGGACGGAACATCTAGAACATAAAGTGAGGGAACGCTCTGACATGTGGAGATGACGTGTGGACTCTACAAGATGAGATCTTCTATGTGATGTCACATCATAAATACTTCTATGTCACAGATGAGACTTTCTGCCGTTCTGTTGGTTTAGGGTGAAGATCTGATGAAGATGAAAGTTGAGGGTGAAGTAGAAGAGACGTATGTGAGGGATGATCAGCGATATACGGAGGAGGCCGGAGTGATGAGGACGTCCATAGAGGAGGACACGCCTACAGAGATCAGCACAGGTGGGTCATAAATACTTTAAGATCCTTTCTTCATTGAGGGACACAGGAAGTCTTCCACCTCTGGGTTATACTGCTGCCTACAGGAGGATTGGACACTGGCAAACAAAAGAAACTGTAGGCCAGCCCAGGACGATCCCTCCTACTCCCAGCATGCCTCAGTTTTCTAGTAAAGTAGTACCAAGAGCATCATAGACCATGCGGGATTATGAAAGGGACACCAGTCTTCCTGAAAGAGGAAGTTGAGACGTAGACTCTCACAGCCCCAACCACCTCTAAACGATGGAGGAACGACGAGCTGAACGTAGGGATGGAGGAAGGACGAGCTGAACGTAGAGATGGAGGAAGGATGAGCTGAAAGTAGAGATGGAGGAAGGACGAGCTGAACGTAGGGATGGAGGAAGGACGAGGTGAACGTAGAGATGGAGGAAGGACGAGCTGAACGTAGAGATGGAGGAAGGACGAGCTGAACGTAGGGATAGAGAAACGACTAACTGAACATAGGGATGGAGGAAGGACGAGCTGAACGTAGGGATGGAGGAAGGACGAGCTGAACGTAGGGATGGAGGAACGACGAGCTGAACGTAGGGATAGAGAAACGACGAGCTGAACGTAGAGACGGAGGAAGGATGAGCTGAACGTAGGGATGGAGGAAGGACGAGCTGAACGTAGAGATGGAGGAAGGATGAGCTGAACGTAGAGATGGAGGAAGGACGAGCTGAACGTAGGGATGGAGGAAGGACGAGCTGAACGTAGAGATGGAGGAAGGACGAGCTGAACGTAGAGATGGAGGAACGACTAACTGAACATAGGGATGAAGGAACGACGAGCTGAACGTAGAGACGGAGAAAGGACGAGCTGAACGTAGGGATGGAGGAACGACTAACTGAACGTAGGGATGGAGGAACAACGAGCTGAACGTAGAGACGGAGGAAGGACGAGCTGAACGTAGGGATGGAGGAAGGACGAGCTGAACGTAGAGATGGAGGAATGACGAGCTGAACATAGGGATGGAGGAAGGACGAGCTGAACATAGGGATGGAGGAATGACGAGCTGAACGTAGGGATAGAGGAAGGATGAGCTGAACGTAGGGATGGAGGAAGGACGAGCTGAACATAGGGATGGAGGAATGACGAGCTGAACATAGAGACGGAGGAACGACGAGCTGAACGTAGGGATGGAGGAAGGACGAGCTGAACATAGAGACGGAGGAACGACAAGCTGAACGTAGGGATGGAGGAACGATGAGCTGAACGTAGGGATGGAGGAACGACAAGCTGAACATAGGGATGGAGGAACGACGAGCTCCTGGGGTGGTAGGCCTGAGATTCGTGCTCCATGGAGATACTCCTGGGTTGGAAGCCCTGAGACTCGTGCTCCATGGAGATACTCCTGGGGTGGAAGCCCTGAGACTCGTGCTCCATGGAGAAACTCCTGGGGTAGAATCCCTGAGACTCTTGCCCCATGGAGAAACTCCTGGGGGTGATAGGCCTGAGACTCGAGCTCCATGGAGAAACTCCTGGGGTGGAAGCCCTGAGACTCTTGCCCCATGGAGAAACTCCTGGGGTGGTAGGCCTGAGACTCGTGCTCCATGGAGAAACTCCTGGGGTGGTAGGCCTGAGACTCTTGCCCCATGGAGAAACTCCTGGGGTGGTAGGCCTGAGACTCGAGCTCCATGGAGAAACTCCTGGGGTGGAAGCACTGAGACTCGAGCTCCATGGAGAAACTCCTGGGGTGGAAACCCTGAGACTCATGCTCCATGGAGAAACTTCTGGGGTGGAAGCACTGAGATTCGTGCTCCATGGAGATACTCCTGGGGTGGAAGCCCTGAGACTCGTGCTCCATGGAGAAACTCCTGGGGTGGAAGCCCTGAGACTCGTGCTCCATGGAGAAACTCCTGGGGTGGTAGGCCTGAGATTCGTGCTCCATGGAGATACTCCTGGGTTGGAAGCCCTGAGACTCTTGCCCCATGGAGAAACTCCTGGGGTGGTTGGCCTGAGACTCGTGCTCCATGGAGATACTCCTGGGTTGGAAGCCCTGAGACTTGTGCCCCATGGAGAAACTTCTGGGGTGGTAGGCCTGAGACTCGTGCTCCATGGAGAAACTCCTGGGGTGGTGGGCCTGAGACTCGTGCTCCATGGAGAAACTCCTGGGGTGGAAGCACTGAGACTCGAGCTCCATGGAGAAACTTCTGGGGTGGAAGCACTGAGACTCGAGCTCCATGGAGAAACTTCTGGGGTGGAAGTCCTGAGAATCGTGCTCCATGGAGAAACTCCTGGGGTGGTAGGCCTGAGAATCGTGCTCCACGGAGAAACTCCGAGTCTCATGCCAAGTATGCCTTCCATCTTCATTGATAGACCTTACAAGATGTAGACTTCTGAGCTTTTACCATAATAGAAATCACAGACTCAGATATTCCCTCGTTCCTTAAACCCCCGGACTTCACCGTTCATACCATGAAAGTCAGCTACTGTGAAGCGGGACGGTAAATCGGTCCTTAAGACAGATCATTTAGTAGAGCCCATGGAGTCTGACCAGGATGGAGTAACACATCTGCCTGCTCTAGTCCGGTGCAGTGAGGATCACCGGAATGTCCTTCAGGTCTGTGAAGCCTACGAGGACAAAGTTTCAGGGGAGGATAGGCATAGGTCCGGTCACATTGATCTTCTGGAACCACCGGAGCATCCACTGCTTCTGACAAATGATACTTTTAATTGGAGACGTGTTGTTGTTGAACCTGAAGGACGGAAGCTTCACAACTGGTGTCTCCTACCTGCGATACAGGTCCCGGAATGCCTCGGGGTTTAGGGACCACTCCCTTGGGTCCAGTTGTTTCCTCCTGGCATGGCTGGAACACAAAGTTCTGCCCAGGACGGGATCTGATCCATCTCGCTTGCCAAGGTGAGACTTCTGGTTCACGCCTGATGACTGATGCCTCCAAAGGACGGGAAGGAAGAACTTCTTCTGACTCCAGAGCTGTATTCCTCAGCCACTAGGCCAGGGAGAACATGGTCCTCAGCGTGTTGCATTGTAGGGGTCAGGAGTGATGCTGAGGAAATAGGAGTGCCTTGAAAGAGTCTACTATCAGAGCTAGGTCCCTCGTGCAGGACTGGAACGTTGAATTCTTATACCGATGTGTCTGAAGTTTTTACTCTGGGGGGAGGGGTGGGGGATCTCTGACCTAAGCTGTGTCCAGGACTGGACCCAGATAATCCAAATGATGAAGTAGTCCCAGCGATGACTTCTGAAGATTCAGGATCCATCTAAATTACTGTAATGTCCCAAAGAGTCCACGCTGACCCCTCAACAAGGAGTCATCTCCGGGTCCCACGAGGGCTAGTATAGAGGCCAGCACCTTGGTAAATATCTGAGGAGAAGACTTGAGCTTGAGGTGCAGAGCCATGAATTGGTAGTTCGGGGGCCCCACGTCAAAGCGTGGGACTCGCTGATCGGGACATTCAACTAATCATCATCGATGTCCACGGAAGCCAGGAAGTCTCACTGGTGAAGGGGGGTGATGACAGATTTGGTAGATGCCAATCCAGGATGGGGTGAAGACCTCCAATGGGCTTGGAAACGGTGAACACGTTGGACTAATTTTACAACAGGAATTTGGGCAATGACTTCCTGAGCCAGAAGAACCAAGCGGACTCAATGGAGAGCTGCCAATCTGTGTGGTGACCCATGAGGGGTTGGAGGTGAGAACCAAAGGAGGGGTCAAGGAGAGGAAGTCCATTTTGTAGCACCTCCAGATGCAAGCTGTCCGAGTGTCCACAAAGGTTACAGTTTCCCCGCCTCTGGAAAGGAGGAGCACACCTCCATGGAGATGGAAGATTTGGCTAGACCTTGTGGTTGGATGGGGAACCAAGGTTGGGGGGGTCTTGACCTGGAAGTTGAGGGAGTGGAGGAACGGACATTTCTTAACAGATGAGGGCGAAGAGTTTGAATTCTCTCCCCCGTAGGCATCTTCTGAGAAAGAAGGGTGCTCCCGCCACCAGTAGCTACATCGGTGATATTGTCCATAAAGACATTGTCCATGGAAGGCCCTGCAGATGAAGCGCATGTCACACGAGGGTTCCACAGTCCACCACGTCAGCTCATAGGCCCTATACCTGCACCCGGTACAGCGGGACCTTCCCTTGAGTTGTGTGGCGGTAAGGCAATGTATAGGCTCAAGCTAAGGCCTCAGGTGCTCATGATACCTGGGCAGCTGATAGCAGGTGAGGGTCGGGTGACCAAAGCCACCGTAGGCAGGCGGTAGGAACAGATAGAAGATCAAACTCCATGTGACTTCTCAAACAGGAGCAGCAGTAGGGAGAAGCTTCCTCAACCCTGTATGCTGGGAAAGATAGCATGGAGTGTGCTCAACTCTCTCATGTCTAATAATCTCTTTCTCTTTGTAGTCCATGGACGGGACGTCGGGAAGATCTCAGAGGAACGTCTCACGTGGCCTCCAGAAGATGAGGACATCACTCAGTATAGTCCTGGACAAGACCATTATGTCCATCAGGTGCCCCACAGTGTGGATGGACCATCGTATTTCTCTTACCCCGAGGAACCTCAGACTGTGACGGATGGGGCCGTCCTTCCAGAGATGTTTCCCTGTATGGAGTGTGGGAAGTGTTTTGTCCAAAAATCAGGATTAGATAAACACCAAATATCCCACAGAGGTGAGAAGCCGTATTCCTGCCCTGAGTGCGGGAAATGTTATCCTTGGAAATCAGCACTTGTCAGACATCAAACGTCTCACACGGGCGAGAAGCCGTATAACTGTACTGAGTGTGGGAAATGTTTCCCATTGAAATCAGCTCTTGTCAGGCATCTAAGATCTCACACAGGGGAGAAGCCTTATTCCTGCTCTGAGTGTGGGGAAAGTTTTCTGTGGCAGACCCAACTTATCAGACATCAAATAAGTCATACGAGCAAGATATCCTATTCCTGTCCTGAGTGCGGGAAATGTTGTGCATTGAAATCAGAACTTGTCAGACATCAGAGGACTCACACGGGGGAGAAGCCGTATTCCTGTCCTGAGTGCGGAAAATGTTATTCACGGAAGTCCCATCTTTCTGAACATCAGAGATGTCACACAGGGGAGAAGCGGTATTCCTGTCCTGAGTGTGGGAAGTGTTTTTTACATAAACCAAATCTTGCTGCACATCAGAGGTCTCACACAGGTGAGAAGCCGTACTCCTGTCCTGAGTGTGGGAAATGTTATCCGCTGAAATCAACACTTGACAGACATCAAAAATGTCACACGGGGGACAAGCCGTATTTGTGTCCCGAGTGTGGGAAAAGTTATCCACGGAAATCGGAACTTGCCACTCATCAAAGATCTCACACGGGGGAGAAGCCGTATGCCTGCCCCGACTGTGGACAGTGTTACATGCTGAAATCAGCACTTGTCAGACATCAAAGATCTCACACAGGGGTGAAGCCCTATCCCTGCCCCGAGTGCGGGAAAGGTTTTTCAGAGAAGTCCTATCTCGCCAGACATCAGCTATGTCATACAGGGGAAAAGCCGCATTCCTGCACCGAGTGCGGGAAATGTTTTGTACATAAATCGGATCTCACTAAACATGAGAGATGCCACACAGGCGAGAAGCCGTATTCCTGCCCCCAGTGTGGAAAAAGCTTCTCTGAACAGTCCAATCTTACCAAACATCAGAGAACCCACACCACTCTTTAGAAATATTTAGAGCGCAGGAAATGTTTTATACATTCCACCAGGAACATTGGAGCTGCAGCAGTGACTTGTGTGGAGTGTAGCCCAGTGAAAATTAAAATATATTTATTCTTTTAATGATGAGATTCTTTGTAAGTTAATTAATAAAAATCACCTTCTGATTTGTATTAAAGTTTATTTGATTCCTTTTCTTCCACGGCCCGCGCTGGTTTTTTGTCTGAGGGGCCACCAATTACCCTTCTCTGTGACAACATTAGAGTTTAATATCCCAGCGACAACAGCCACAAATATTGCGCAGTGGCTGGACTGTGTGTAAGCAGCTTGGTTAGGCTGCAATATAAGTGGGAGAGATGAGGCAGGCTTTAGCTTGAAATAACCATCACAGAGTGTTCTATCGAAGACAATAGCCAGAAATATTGTGCAGTGGCTGGACAGCGTCTAAGCAGCTTGGTTAGGCTGCAATATAAGAGAGAGAGAGACAGGTTTTAGAGTATTTTTTTCTGAGTCGGTGGCCAACAATATTATACAGTGGCTGGACAGTATATAAGCAGCTCGGTAAGGCCACAATGTAAGTGGGAGAAATGAAGCAGGTTTTATCTGAAAACAACCATAACTGCATTCTTACAGAGACAACAGCCACAAATATTGGGCAGTGTGCAAGCAGCTTGGCAAGGCCTCAGTGTAAGTGCCTGAGACCAAGCAGGTTTTCTTCTTGAAAGAAACAGTAGATTGCATTATTTCAGAGACAATAGTCATTTTTTTTTATGTGGCTGGGCAGTGTGTAAGCAGCTCGGCAAGGCCACAATGTAAGCGGGAGAAATGAAGCAGGTTTTATCTGAAAATAACCATATCACTCTATTCGTTCAGAGACAACGACCACAAATATTGGGCAGTGTGTACGCAGCTTGGTAAGGCATCAGTGTAAGTGGTTGAGAACGAGCAGGGTTTCTTCTTGAAACAAAGTGTATTATTTCAGAGACAACAGCCACAAATATTGCGCAGTGGCTGGAAAGTATGTAAGCAGCTCGGTACAATCGCAATTTATGAAGAAGAGACAAGGCAGGTTTTATCTTGAAATAAACCTCACATGTGTATTATTTCAGAGACAACAGCCACAAATATTGCGCAGTGCCTGGACAGTATATAAGCAGCCTGGTTAGACCACAATGTAAGTGGGAGAAATGAAGCAGGTTTTATCTTAAAATAACCATAACAGTGTATTCTTTCAGAGACAACAGCCACACATATTGTACAGTGGCTGAACAGTGTGTAAGCAGTTTGGTTAGGCTGCAATATAAATAATAGAGAGGAGGAAGGTTTTATCTATAATATCGTATAGTAGCTGTACGGTATAAATTTGAGGAACCAAATGCTTCTGACTGCAGTGTGGACAAACCACTGTCGTTATGGAGTCAAGGATATCATTATCCATCAGCAATTACACGATACTGCCAAAGTATTGGGACGCCTTTCCACGCACATGACCTCTAATGGCCCCCGGTCTTAGTCCGTGGTAACAGGCGACCGCGGCGGAATATTTAGTAGCCGGGAAAGGTCACGGAACACCTGAATCACATGATTTTAGCCGGGAAATGTCACGGACGGATTTATTGCGCAGGTGACAACCTATCACGGCACCACGCTTGTAGTCACCGAGCTCCTGAGAGCGACCCGTTCTCTCACCGATGTCTGTAGAAGCGTCTGCACGCCAAAGGGCCTCATCCTATACACCGGGGGCCATGGAGGGGATTGGAGGAACACCTGGAGGGGGAGGGGCCTCATCCTATACACCGGGGGCCATGGAGGGGATTGGAGGAACACCTGGAGGGGGAGTGGCCCAATACAGTGTATATTGTTGGTGGGCCCTTAGAAAGCAACCTCCTAATGTCAATTGGCCCCTTTAAGAGCACTCAGATAAGTTACACGTGACCCGACAAGAGCGTTCGAAGGTCAAACGGTCCTCCTTGTTCTAGGCCCGAGACCCCACAGGAGTCACCTCAGAACATTGCTCTGAATAGTAATACAGCGAATAATAGGCGCGGCTTCAGACATCGGTTGTCCTTTCTACGTTAGAACTTACTCCTAAATTATCTGACCCGTACGAAGCATAAAATAATTATTCAACATTATAAACTTTATACTTCTCCGTATTTATATAAAAAGATACACAACACAAGGCGGAGATCACACTTCGAGAGGTTCCTCGGGGGCTGCAGTTCCTCTGAGCTCCACCAGGTGGCGATCTCACCCATACCCAGACAGGAAGTCTCTATGGAAAACGGACAGGAAGTGATGTCACCTTTAAACAGGAAGTTCCGGGTGAGTCGGGAGGAAGGGGAGAGGAGACATTGCTGGGACTGGCAGCAGAGGAGGTAATAAGATATTATATTATATTTACACCCAGTAACCCCTCCCCCCCGTCATGTCCGTCCTC